TAAATCATTAAAAACCAGGCAGGCCAATGCATCCATCATCTGTAGTTACGCCTATGATTGCTCCTGTCTGGTCTGAAAGAGACCCACAGTCATGCTTACTGCAAAAGCTGCTGAATGCAAGGGAGTTACTCCGTGCGCGCGCTAGTACAATAGAGCAGAATTGGATCCACTGAGCTGTTGGTTGCTTTAATTTCCCCCTAGGCTGCAGCTCTCTCCAACCAGGCTGTTGTGGGGATATTCGAGGCAGGCAGACAAGTTCGGTTCCCCGCTCTCCATCCCAAGATCATCTCTGATCTCTCTCCTTTCTCAACAGCCCCAGTTACAAGAAGTGCCATCACCCCCAAACCCAGGGACCACTATTCCTCTCCCGCTGCTGATTGCTTCCCACTTCTGGTTTGACTTAGACTGAATTTCTCACAATCCACGTTTCCTTAACTTTTTGGTATCTGAGACACCAAGAAGGTCTTTGATCTTTGAAAGGTCCCGTTCGAGGTACCCCTGTGTGACTTAGGGATATCATTCCTCTACTTCAGCACTGTTTTTAGCACCACCTTGGAGACTTGAACGGGAAGCCCTTCGATTTTCTCCCTTATTCCCCTCCTCACTTCATTATTACAGGCTGGTTTCCAAGAACCTCAGTCTCGATTAAGTCCCTGTTATTGTGCAGGCTCCTCTGCCTTGCAATAGAGCTAGAATCATCACTGTGCTAGGGGCTGCACATACCCGGAGCAAGAGACAATCCCTTCCACTTACAGGGAGAAACACGATTCATGCAGAAATTGGGACCCAGCACAAGTCAAGGCCCAGAGGAATCAAGGGACTTCATCAACATCCCCGAGGAAGCCGGTGGCAGATGCAAAAGGTGACCCAGGGCACCGGAGTCATAATCCACAACACTAACCTTCCTGTACCCTGCCTTCCCTAAGGATGGCAGAGGTCTTGCATACAAGGTAGCTGGGCAGACTGGAGAAGAGGTGCAAGAAGGAACCAAGGGAGACAGAATCACACCGGCAGGCCAAAAATCAGGCTGGGCCAATTAAGTCCACTGAGAATATTGCAGCCTGAGGCTTGATACCAAGCCTGGAACTGGCCTCTCTTCAGTGGATCCACTCTGAACGTTTGGAGCAGTGCTTCTCTATCTTTTTAGGCTTTAGCCATTCCTCAATAGCCTTGAGGCCCCCTCGGGACATGCCAGCTCTTCATTTTCACTTTTTTGACTGCAGAAAACTAATATAGCAATGCTTCTGTTGCAAGTAACTTGGATCACAACAGGTCACAATGCTTCTGACACTATGGATGCCTATCCAAAATCTTTGGGGGTCTCTTGGGCATCAGGTTTGCACACCTAACAGTGCTAACACCTTGCGTCAGGAAGGATCTCAAGACAGCGCAGGATGCTGTGGTACCCCAGCTGAGAACTGCTGGTTTAGAGGTTCGTCTTTGGAGGCGATACCGCCAGGTCTAGCCCTTATTCCCAAACTGCACCATATTCTCAAGCAAAGGGGAAACAGTCTCTGGTTTATAAATGCCATGGAGAAAGCCAGGGAATTTCCGACACACTGCTAGTTATCATAGTGATTCATTACCCTGCATCCATTTACACTTGCATCCAATGCTGCTCTGCCAACTGCAGCAAAAGCTCAGGTATAGGCCCCTCTTCCTGCCAGCCCCAATGTGCCAATGTGTCTTTGTGCCAACAGGAGAAAAGTCCTTTTGTCTCAGTGCTGAACAATCCAGTTTTTCTCCCCACCTCCTTTTGTGAGGCTCAGCCCCTGTTCAACAAACCCTGCTGGAAAAGGAAGGCTTTGTTTCTGCAATATTCAGCTCCTCTGCAAAAAAAAATAAAAAATCTTGACCTTGTGAAAACACCCACAAAGACTTCAATAAATAGAAACTGCCTTTCACATAGTTCTAGAAAACAGACGCTGGGCCAACTTCACCCCAGCTGTAAATACTTGGGCTACACTGGCATCTCTCTCACATGACACCTCTCACACCAGAAATGAACTCGGCCCCTTCTGCACAACCAGGCTCTGCGCTGTATTCTGCGGGATTCACTTGAATAGAGGAAGAAAATTAAAGTAATATCAGGAAGAGGGCTATTCATATCTGGTGTTAAGGAGGCCCTGTTTCCCCACTTTGCACCACTATTGAAAGGGACGCTGACAACTTTCAGTTTTGGGAACCGAGTAACAGATGAAGAAACACAATTTCTGGAAGACGGCCAGTTAAACAGCAGGGCCAAATTGTTTTTAAGAGTCCTTTTACATTTCCTCTATCTGGTTTGCATCTTCCAAAGGATCTGTATCTCAAGGGAGAAAGTGACTGAGTCCTTGGGTTAGGTGCAGCAGTTGTTACTTGCAAATTCTGCCTGAATGCTTTCCAGGTGACAGACATGGGATTTTCTAGCGGATGGTATCCATGTAAGGACGCAATAATCCTAACTTGAAACGAGAGTTGGTACAGAATGGTTAACAGTAACAAAACAAAACCAAACCAGGTGATTATCATGGCCAGCGGACTTTGCCCAGAGTGATGCTCTTAGGAAATTATTTGCATCAAGGCCAGGCCTTCTGAGCTGAACCAGACTTGGTTCTCAGGCACTGCATCCAGGTATGAGGCAGTCTCTGCCCCAAGGAGGTCACAGACTAAGTTTTCCTGCAACTATCAGACAAGTGTTGAGAAATCATCACCGTTACTACAACAGGCTTGTTTTATTGCACAGTGTGATCCAGTGGTTACAGCACTGGGTGGGGGATCACTATATTGCACAGTATGATCTGATGGTTACAGTGGGGTGGGGGATCACTACATGTCACAGTACGATATGATGGTTACAGTGGGGTGGGGGATCACTACATTGCACGGTATGATCTGCTGGTTACAGTGGGGTGGGGGATCACTACATGTCACAGTACGATATGATGGTTACAGTGGGGTGGGGGATCACTATATTGCACAGTATGATCTGATGGTTACAGTGGGGTGGGGGATCACTACATTGCACGGTATGATCTGATGGCACCCAGTGGGGTCAGGGAGCTGGCTTAGTGTCTAGCCCCATCTCTACCCTTCCTGCCTCACCTTATGTTGGTCACTTTAGCTTCTCAGAGCCTCGATTTCCCTATGTGTTGTGTGGCGGCTGTTATGGTTTGCAATCTTCCCTGAAGTGCTTTAAGAGCTCTAAACAGAAAGCAGCACAGCTAGCTCACAAACACGAAGGACTCAAGAAAAATCACCCAAAGGACCAGAGGAATTTTCTGCTCCATCTCAGGTTTCTAATACTTTTGTCACAAGGCAAACAGGAATTGAAGCCAATTAACTGTACTATTGAATAAAGCCGACCTCTTTGATAAGAACACTTTCTATTCTCTCCAAGACAAAACCTTCTTCTCTCTCTCCAGCTCCCTTGCAGTCTGGCAAACCACGCTGGGCTTCAGAACAATTGCATGAAAGGCCCCGTAAAGCAAGCAGCTTTCCAAAGTCTGCCATCGTCCAAACGCCAGCTGAAACGCACAGCACTGAAGCTGCGAATTCAGAGCCCAGGACACCCACAGGCTATTAGAGTTAATGATCTCTGGACAGCCAGATCTGCTGAAAAAAAGGAAATCAATGCTTGGGACTAATAGTTCATCCTTGCTACAGAGAAACAGACTCTTTACTATCAGGCTTAAGGACAACGGTTCTCAACCTTTTTAGACTGGAAAACGCCAGCTCTTAGTTTCCACTCGATTTTTAACTCCAGAAAGTAAACAGAGCGATTCTTGTGTTGCACAGATCTCAGGAAGCCCGTGAGCGGGAAGGGTGGCTTTTAAACACTGGGGATTCCTATGTGAAGTCTCCGGATTTATCTTGCGAGTCTTGCTCGCGCACCGAACGGTGCTAACGCTGCGTGGCATCCTGTGGCACCCTCGAAAGGATCTCAAGGCACACCGGGGTGCAGCAGCAGCGTACAAATATAAGAACTGCCATTTACTGAGTCGGACCGTAAGCCCATCCAGCCCGGTGTACTGCATCACACGGGGGCAGGGAGCGGGTGCTGGAAGAGAGAGCGAGCAGGATACGACCCAGGTTTATTTCCACCCTTCCTGTCTCGCTTGCAGCCTCCAGCTTTGAACGTCTCAAAAACTCGGGCTCAGAGTCAGCGCCTCTCACTCCCAGGCTCAATTGCTAGGGACGCTCCTTTCTTCCAGGAATACGTCCAAACCCTTTGGGGATCTGGCTAAACTCTCAGCATCCCTTCACTTGAAATGACCCACCGAGTGAAAAAACTTCCTCGGGGTCATTTTTGTCAACTGCCTGCCTGCTTGCTTCATGCGTGACCCCTAGTCCTTGCCTGGTGAGAGAGTTGATAATAAACCCCCCGCCGTGGACTTTTGCTTCGCCAGCTAGTCATGCGTTAAACCCCTCCGACAGAATCGCAGCTCTTTCCCAGGCCAGACCCAGGTCCATCCAAGTCCCGCGACCTCTGGCTCAGCCTCCTCCAGCCGGGTCTGTACTTGGGATCTCTCGAACTAGGAAGGACGCTCCGGCTGGGGGGCTCTTCACGTCCCCAAGCAGAGCTTCACCGGGCAGTGGCCCCCATCTCCTCGGAGGGCCAGTGGGCACCGTGCCAGCCCACCACCGTCGCTGTTTGGTATACCGAGGGTGGAGGGGACCCATCTAGTCCAACCCCCCCCCCCCCCTCCCTCGCCCCGAGGGATCACCG